TACTATTTCACCTTTGACTGTCACATTTATCTTGCATATATTAGTCGACCAGTTTGAAGGACTTTCTTTTCGCTCGTTTTGATAAAATTATCATACTTTAAGGACGATTTAACTTAACTGTTACAAAAAAAAAAATTGTCGTTGCAACACATAGTATGTATATTGGTTATACAATATAATTAGGTTGAAATAATTTGTCTCACCTCAAGACGTTTACTGATTTATTCATTTTTTGCTATTCTATTACACGCTCATAATTGGAGACGTCTCGTAACTCTGTAACTAATGGTCTTCCTACTCGTGTTCAGCAACGAGCATTCTAGACTTCCCTAGGGAGATTGGTAATACATGGGAAAGAAAATTCATCGTGCGTTTTGATACCCGAATGTCACTAATATAGAAGAATGCAAATAGATTTTTGATGTTTTTCACGAATTTTAAAAACTCAATAATTCAGAAATTTTCAAATTTCTAAATTCTTAAATATCGAACTTCCTAAATTCAAAAATTTCTAAATTCCTAATTTCTCAAATTGACATATTTCAAAATCTGAAAAACTCAAATTTCCAAATTTAAATTCCTAAATCCAAAAATTTCTATAATATCAATTTGCAAATTCGAAAATTCGAAAATTTTCATATTCACAAACTTTTGATGTCCAGACATTCACATTTCCAAATCTCAAATTCTCCAAATCTTTAAATTTCTAAATCTTCAAATCTCCAAATCTTAAATTCTCCAAATTTTCAAATCTCCAAATCTCCAAATCTCTAAATCTCCAAATCTCCAAATCTCTAAATCCCCAAATCTCCAAGTCTCCAAACCTCTAAATCTCTAAATCTCAAATTCTAAGATCCAAAATTTCCAAGTCCCAAATTCTCAAATTTTCAAATTCCAAAAACCCAGATTTCCAAATTTTCAAATTTCTAAATTCCCAATTTTGTACTTACCAAATATACAAATATTTGAACAAAAAACATTTACATTTTCCACTTATAAATTTATTTAATCTATGTACGACGTATGCGCATATTAAATATTCATAATATCTCATCTTATCTATTCATCTTAATTTAAAACAATAAATCAACCTTTCACAAGTTATTGCGTTTGCAATTCCTTACGAAAAGAAAGCTACTCATCGTTGCTCTAGGGTAGGGTAAAAACTCGGAAGAACAACGATATTTCATGCGCGAATATACATTTCCTTTTTATTGTAGTAGATTTATCATTGATGAGTCAGAGTTCGGCGCAAGTACACGTATTTTAAGAGTAAAGCAACCATGTCTGTACCATCTTGATACTGCTATATACTGGTTTCATTCAACCATGCACGACTAAAATAAATGCTACTCGTTGCAAATGTATCGTTTTGTCCACAGATTCGGCAAAACGAAATTTATTGGAGATCTCGTGAATGCGTAGGTACGTGAAACAGAAATGATCAGTTGTTCACGTGTTAAAAAAAAACAGTGTAAAGATATCTAATAATTTCCCTCTTAATAGTTTCCTACTAAATAATTTCATACGCGATAATTTCCCGCTTGATATACTTCTTCAAAGTGTATTTCTTAAACTTCTCCTAGTTGTCAATAAACTTTACTGTCAATTTGTATTATAAATATTCAATTTACGAAAATACATATAAATGCATTTAATTAAATTTGATTAAAATTTGGGAATTTTCGAAATTAAAAATTTGTAAAATCCATGCGTTTAAATTTGAAAATTTGGAAACTCCCATCTTTCTAAATTGACAAAATCCTACTTATATTGAATATATTTCTGAACTTATAGTTTTAGAAATGACTAAATTTGTAAATCTGTAATTTTCCAAACGATCAAATTTTAAAATAAAAAATTTCAAAATTAAAAAATTTGAATAAATCCTTTTTTGCTTATTAACACTCTACAATATTGCTTTTAAAGCAATATCGTGATTGTGCATTTCATTTTTTGTTTATTTCACTTCTTTTGTTTTCCCTTGACCATCACCAAGTCTGTTTACAAAAGATGCGTCCTATCACCAAGGCGAATACGCATTATACTCCCGTTGGTTCTTTAAAAACAAAGAAAAAGGTATGTAAGAAACTATGAGCGGCAATATAATGAATGGTGTTGATCTACTTTTATTAATTACACATTTAAATTGGCGCGAGACAATAAAGAAAATTCAAGCTGTAGTGACTTTTTTTTTTTGCTGACTATAAATGGAATAACAGACAGACCGCACGATATATTCAGTTTAAAAATATACGTTCAGTTGTTTGTCTGGAAGAAATGTTATTGAAAAATTCAATACTTTTTTATGAATAGTTAGCCACAGTTCGTTATATTTATTTTTTTTATTATTTCCGTTCTCTTTAATAAAATTACGAATTTTAATTATTTGGAAGTTCAATGTCGAAGGCGATGAATTAAATCACATCCGGTTTTTTGGTGATCCGACATAAAATATTGTGCGCGCATATATTAAGTAAATTGAAAAAATTTTGGGATTTAGAAATTGGAGAGTTCAAAAATTAGAAAAGTTAGACTTTAGAAATTTATAAAGGTAAAAATTAAGAAAAACGCAAATGTTAGATTCAGAAGTTTAGAAATTTTTAAATTAGAATGTAAAAATGTATAACTTCAGAAATGTCCAAATTTCTAATATGAGACACACGCTACAAACAAAGCCACGTTTACTCTGATTCTCAGACGGTTACGCCAATGTACACCATATGCGGAAGTCTAATGATTACATTCCAGAGTAGATCGATCATACGTGAAAACTTCATAGTTCTACAAAAATTAAAGGTTATATATAAATGATGCACAGATTTATTTAATATTATCTTCCCAAATTAATGATATTGTTACACTGATTTCACATGGAACCAATTTGTTCATCGTGTGCGTAAATGCGAAACAAGCCCGCATGGTACTAAAACGAATAACAAGATAGATTCGATAACACTTAATTTCATTAAAACCCAATAAAGATAATCTTAAAACACCGATCATAAAAACAAATTCAACTCTTTCCCATTAAATTTTTGCGACTTTCTAAAACTTCGTATGCAACTGTGTTTACATTGAGGGGATAAACACTCTTGTTTCCGGCAAAAATCGTTTCAATTGTTTTACGCTTGAATTTCGCTGAGAACGAGGACCAACGTTCAGTGTAAACGCACTATAAGGTGAACACGTAATCATACAATATGAAAGCTTACACAAGTTAGTCAGGTGCGACTAACCACAGAAACGTCTTTTTTTAGCTTTCTCGGCGACGTCTCATTTCACTAAACCGATTTCGAATCTGTTTAACAGAGACAAGATCGAGACGTATCATCGGAAAAAACATATTACTAACCGTTTATTTTCTGGGATGGAAGACGAAAGGGAGAGTTAGTGAAAGACAAGGAAAAAGAGATAACATGGAACGAGTCAGCCGCACGGCGTACGTGACCGACTGCACTTCGCGGTTCCCGCTCTCCCGTTTCGATTCGTTCGTTTGGTGCGCGAGCTACTCGAAAGATCGTTGCAATTTCGGGATCCTGACCTTCTCTGCCCACCATTCATCCCCCACCATTGCTCGTCGACCGCCTACGAGATTAAACATCGATGCGGACGTGGCGATATAACTTTCCACCGACGGAAAACAATCCTATTATTCGTCATCGAAGTTTTATGACAAACCAGGAAATGTAGCAGGCCTGTACTGACTAACTCGATTATGATAAACAGGGACGATGATGCTTAAAAGTTCTAAACATTTAATAAATTTTGACATTCGTACGTATATCCAACTCTAAACATATGACGGAAAATAAAAATGTACTTTTTGAAACCGCGCATTAAAATTTCAGAACTGTAAGGCATTGAGACTTTGCAAGTTCGAGTCTGCGTTTGCAAAGTTTGAGACTGCAATTTTTGAATATTAGAATTTCGGATATTGCTGAAATCTTCAAACTATAAAATTTTGGTTTACCCGAAACTTTTGGACTTTAGAACTTTTTAAATTTGAAACTTTGGAATCTAGGAATTAAGAGACTTAGATACCATTTCAAAAAATATAAATCCATAGTAAATCTAGTAAAGCAAAATTTCACCTTTATACTTTAACCACGTGTTCGTTCTACTCATTGGTTGAGCCTGCCCTGATGACAGACATCGCGGAAGCGAGAGATCGCTTTTTCTCGATCGATTGTACAAACAAAACTCGTATCGCAAATTATTACTGCGTTCTTCGAGCAGTATTCAATTATATTCAAACGGTATTTTCCATATTATTGCAAAACTGTTTGATATTTTCAATTAACGAATGTTGTCAACAGCGTCTATTTTATAATTTTTATAAATCAAGCTGAGACAATACTGATATTTATTTAATGTTTTCTGACACATACAAACACTACTATATGTACGATATTCACAGCAATATAATTTTCTAGCTGTCTTGGAAGAAAGTAGTGTTCTCAATATATATGAAAAATCTATAATTTATTACGATTTTTATCGATATACTTTAAGCATACGCGATTGAACTTTGATTAACGTAATTTAAAATTCGATGTGCTGATTCGTATTTAGCTGTCTAATTTTACACCTGATATTTGATATCACGAACCGCCGTATTCGAAAAAGTTTTCTTGCCAAACTTTGTAAAAAATTAATTAATCACTATTCGAATATGCGTCCGACAATCGATTTTTACGCATAATCGTTATACATTTACTTATTGCTTTAAATAGACTAAAAAAGTGAAACTTGTTTAATAAAATATTTTGAATGTTTTCAAAACTACATGAGTTATAGTGCATGCTTAAAATAAACAACGAAAAGTTTACAGCAACATTGAAACGTTAATTAATAAGATACTAAAACATATCTTTAATGAATATACATGTTTACTTTTCATCTAATTAACATAAACAAACTTTGACAAACTCTAACACAGAATAAATAAATATCAATATAAAAAGCTTTTGTAGTTATAAAAATATATTTTTGCTTACCTTTGTTCTCCCATTAATTGTGTAGTTCCCCATCTTTCCATTGTTACACATTTTATTTGCCCTCATAATGATGGCATCCACTTGGGATATAAGCATTCCAATATTTTGACATTGTTTTTCTTTGCCATCTAACCACGTTATTTGATCACCACGAATTGTTTTCAAGTCATTTGCACCTGCTTTATTAGAAACTAACTGTCCATCTTTAAATAACCCTGCACTATACATATTTAAAACTTCATTTAACACTGCAAGACCTTTTTCTGTTCCTAGAAAATTGTCTACCACACACATGCCATATTCGTCCATGTCTCTAATCACGTTTCTACACATTTCATCTAGCAACTCTTCAAGATTATTCTTGTTCTTATGAAGGAAAGGTGGTAACAGTTCTTCGTCACGAGTGAAACAAACTTCTGGGAAGTTTTTCATACCGTTGTGATGTTGCGTAGGCATATCTAGTTCATTGTCTTGTAAATTATTGAGTATTCTTGAACTTTCTACGGCAGGATTCAACAATTCAGCTCTGGCTCCTAGGATTGTGTCCTCAGAACTTCCTTCATACGTAATTGGAGAAGTCCATCCATCCACACTGTTTGTTCGAGTACCTTTTGTTTTTGTACCACTTGATTTCCTCTTAGGATTTTGACATTCCTTATTCTGTGACAGTTCCTTTACTTTTTCTGATCGTTTATTTATTCCTGAAAATAGAGTAATATATACATATTACATAATGACCAAATGATAAAAAAATAGAAAAATTACTATGCAGTATCTTCTTTTTAAACATTACCACTTTAAATAATAAACAAGTAACAAACTATTAAACAATAAAGGACCAATCATTTTACTTTCATCCCTTCACCTGACTAATAATATAGTTCAAAAACTAAACTTTTGACAAAGCCAACTAGGAATGTATACAATAAAAGAAATCACTATTTTAACTAAAAAATAAAGGACTATCTTTCAACGAATCATATAAATAATCAAAACATTTGTTTTTTACTGAATGTTTATAAAATTGAAAACATTTAAACGAAATTGCAAACCAAACTCCAAACTATAGCACATACCACCAGGATATTTTGTGTTACGATGTACTTCTGGAAGGGCATCCGATCCCCGCGTTGTTTCTGACACTGGTTCTTCGTTTAGGTTAGAAACCACTGGTGTATTTGAAAACTGTATGTTTCTGAGGGAGGAATGATCTTTGCTGGACTCCAGAATTGAATTTTTATTAGCCGTCAAAACTGAATCTGGCGCGATCGATCGTATAGAATGAGTCGTACAAAATTCTTTGTGACGTTTCCAATCCCGCCTCTGGTGTTCTTTGGTGCAATAGAAGACGGCCTTGCACCGTGAACACCTTAACAGCTTGTCAGTCCTATTACAGACTACGCAGACCACCGTTGCACCTATTTGAACATCACCGCCGGGTGTCTGCGCACGACTGACTGTCGGTCCGGACATGTTTCGTCGTTTATTTCGCGGCCACGAGTGTCGACGACATTTCTCCAATGCGGGAAGTCACACACGCACTCGATCTGCGTACGGTACTACCGTGCTATCGGGACACCGCAGTGCTTATACGTATGATTCGCTTGGTTTACATGTTACATATATGTTATCGAATCTGCAAAACACCTATTGGCGCAATGGTGATTAGAAAAAATACCGATTCTTAATGTTCTATAGTGCAATGCTTACGCATAATCACGTATACGTGTACTCATGCATCGGTACAATCAGATTATACTGCATTCAGGTCTTTCTTTAAAAATTCATTTAAAAGTTAGGTATACATTCGCTATTTTGCCCGTTCACCGTCCTTAAGATAGCGCCACTTTATAGCCAACTTTTTTCACAAGAGAATAATTTGATCAATCGTACCCTTTGATATGACAAGAGTCTCAGGGCGCTTAAATTCATTTTGCATAAAACGAACAGTTTTCCTCAATCGTTTTTACGTATATTCAAGGAAATTTTAGTCCTGTGTCTTCAAAATTAATAGAACTACAACATTTTTGCACATTAATGATGACCGACTGATCTAAATTCATATCAATAATATTTTCTTTTTTGACAAATTTGTAAAGACCGGTGCAGAAACAAAGACAGACAGTGACGCTTCTTTGATTTTATATAAAAAAGTTTAATTATGACCTTGAATGTAAAAACGATTTATTATTAGCCAACGCAGGAGTCAAGATAATGTTTTTAAGATATTATATGAATATTAAATCAGTAATGAAAGATACTATTAAAATATTTTTTTTCTATATTTAAATGTTTTATGTAAAAGGGTTTGAAGCTATAATTCAAATTAAATGTACTTATTATATAATTTCAATTGTAACAATAAAATTAGACAAAGGAAATATAAAACTTTTAAATACTATAGACAATTTTATTATAATTTTACTATGTATCAAAAATGTTTGTGCATGCAACAGTACAATTCTACAATGTATAAAAACAATATTAGATTATATGTGTGTTATCTGTGAGTATTCATGTTTGAAAAAATATATTTTTCAATTACTGAAAATGAATTATATTAAATATTATTAAAAAGAGGCTACAAATGTTGTAGTTTTATGATACATTAGAACTGTAAATAAACAAGTATAACGCACAACAAAAGTAGTTGACTTATATGTAATAAATATACAATGCAATGAATGTTCTACATTTATAGTAGAATAATTGTCGAAACGTTCAATGACAGAAATTCTTGGAAATACTTATTTACAGCTTATTTTCTGAGATGTTCATATTTTTGTACAGTATTCATAAATGCGGTGCTGTATACCATATACTTTTTCTTAACAATATTAACAGTGCATACAAATGTATGCTTTCAAATGGAAACTACATGTTTCCATAGCAACAGCTTTTGCACTTTGTCACAACATTATATACTGTGTACATTGAATAGTAAAATAGTATAGTAAACATTTTGTGAAACAAAGAATTGTTAAAAGTTTGTAAATAAAAAGCTGTTACTCCTACAACATGAGTACTTTTATACAAAATATTCAGATTAAGGATGGAGAATATACAAAAACAATTTATACGATGGTAGATTGTATATTCATATATAGTTTGTATTATTATTTCATTATTTAATATATTGACTGTTATGGGTGTGTCAGTGATTTAGTTTATATTAATTAAAAAAGATGTAAAATAACATATTTTACAGATTAAGGAACAACGGTACATAGAAACAATAAAAGTTTTACTTGCACTTTTAGATATATATCCTACTGTATGTATGATTATGTTAAAATAATTTATGATACTGTCAATAAATACTTTATATATGTTATACAAATATAATAAATTATTTTACAGTCCAGACCCTGCTTGTCTCTTCTCGCTCACTGTTATTTTTATACTCAAGATTTTATAGCTTCTGCACAGTGCTATGAAAAATTAGTTCAATTGTGTCCAGATGAAAGTATATACAAGTTATATCATGCTCAATCTTTGCATCAAGCATGTATGTATCAGGAAGCTTGGACTATATGTTCAAATATTATTAACCAAAGTAATCTAGAATTTAAAGTAAAAAAGCTGCAAGCAGCAATAAAATATGGTCAAGATGATATGGTTGCTGCAAAAAATCTTGTTGATCAATGTCCAGTTGATGACGTTGATACAGAAATTAATTTAGGATGTCTTTTATACAAGGTATGACTAATGAAAATAAATAGTGCTTGCAGAGTTAATCTGATATTTGTTTTTTTTTAGGAAGAGCAGTATGAACAAGCTTTGAAAAAGTTTGCAAATGCATTACAAATTGCAGGTTTTAAACCACATTTATCATATAACGTTGCACTTTGTTATTTTAAATTAAAGGAATATGCAGCATCCTTAAAACATATTGGTAAATATACTATGACCAATAACAAAATCTTGTAATTTAATAATAATTTCTAATTTAACAATACTATCTTAAATTCGTGTTAGCTGACATAATCGAACAAGGAATAAGAGAACATCCAGAATTAGGAGTTGGCATGACAACAGAAGGTATAGAAGTACGCAGTGTTGGTAATACTTTAACGCTTCATGAAACAGCTTTAACAGAGGCATTCAATTTAAAAGCAGCAATAGAATATCAACTGCAAAATCGTAATTATATCAAACAAATTTTAGTTACAATTATTTCAACTAGTACCATGATGCATCTGATATATGAATTTTTTTCATTGTATTTAGTTGAAGCAGCAAAAGAAGCATTAACAGATATGCCTCCCAGATCTGAAGAAGAGCTTGACGCTGTTACTTTGCATAATCAAGCCTTAATAAATATGGACACAAAGCCAAGCGAAGGATTTGAAAAACTTTCGTTTTTATTACAACAAAATCCATTCCCACCTGAAACTTTTGCAAACTTATTATTGTTATATTGCAAATACCAATACTATGATTTAGCTGCAGATGTACTTGCTGAAAATGTACACTTGACTTACAAATATTTAACATCAGTAAGTATGGTTTTTATTATCATAATTTTATACACTGTAAATACATTTTTGCGTAAATATGAATTTCACTGTTACAAAACTTTTAATGATATTATAAAATTATGAAAACAGGATGAAACGTAATTTGCAATTGTACTGCATTTATATAATTTCTCAATCACTGGAGTGTTTACTTTTTGAGCGTTTAGACTTTTTAGAATGTTTGTCTATGCTTTCTGAATGTTTTCGTTTATGAGCTTTCACATCATGACTAGAAAAATCTTCATTATGACTTTCATTGCTGGAAGTATCATTATACTTCTTTCTTTTTCTTTTTTGATCTTTAGAGTATTTCTTCTTTTTCTTTTTAATTACTTCTTTTCTGTCAGAATCACTATCATCTGTATTTTGTTTAAGTTTTTTAACTTTCTTTTTCTTTTTTCTTTTCTCTTTGTGTTTCTTCTCTTTTTTAGTCATATCAGTTTGTGGTTGAACAGTAGGTTCTTCTTCTTCAATCTCTGGGATTAATTCATATTTCTTTCCATCAGGAGACATGAAGCAATCCTTAGATAAATGACCAGCAGTTCCACATTTAGTACAAGTAGTATTAAGGACTGCTTCTAAATGTATAGCTTTACGTTCATATTTTTCTACAGTCTTCCTCTTTTGCATGTCCCTCTGTAGTTCTACTCCATTAGGATCTAAATCTGTACCACTTCCTTGATTCACATATTTCATGGACAATCCTATTTTACCATCATCCCCGATTGAAATAATTTTGCACCATACTCGTTCTCCTTTTTGCAAAATCTCTGCAACATTGTCGACATGAGCAGAGCTTACCTAATAAGTTTATATAAAATATTTATATTAAAAGACACACGCAAAAGTAATTTATTATGAATACACCATTCTAATACCTGTGATTTATGAATCAATCCCTGGACTGAACAGCCTGGAATTCTAATAAAAGCTCCATAATTTTGCACTGACGCAATTTCTCCAAGAAATATTTGGTTTAACTTACAGTTTGCCATGTTTATAAAACTGAATAAAATGACTTTTCTGTTAGTAAAATATACAACTACTATACTTGCACGGAAACAGTAGCATAAATTGATGGGACGCGTATTCAAAGGTTAAGATTACCAACAACGCTCAGGACCGTAGCGAGCGCAAGATAATAAGGAGAGGGCGAATAATAAAAATAAAAAATATGTATTTGAATTGAAAAACTGACGATGTTAATGTTTATTCTACAACTAATGTTTATTTTACAGTATTTATATGATTTTTTGGACGCATTAATTACGCAACAAACTTCACCAGAAGAGGCGTATCGCAAATTTGATGATCTTGGCAATAAGCATATGGAAATATTGCGAAAAGCTACAAAAAGAGTACAAGAAGCGAGATTAAATCATGATGATAGTGCTGTTAAAAAAGCAGTTAACGATTATGAAGAAGCCTTAGAGAGATACATACCAGTTTTAATGGCACAAGCTAAAATTTACTGGGATCTTGAGAATTACGTGCAAGTTGAAAAAATTTTTAGAAAAAGCGTAGAATTCTGTAACGAACATGATATATGGAAGCTAAACGTAGCTCATACCCTTTTCATGCAAGAAAATAAATTTAAAGAAGCAACAGGATTTTACGAACCAATTGTTCGAAAAAAATACGATAATGTTAGTCGCTATTTTATTTCATTTAAATCTGAATATTTTTGATAATCTATTAAAATTTCAGATTTTAGACGTAAGTGCTATAGTACTCGCTAATTTATGCGTTAGTTACATTATGACGTCTCAAAATGCCGAAGCTGAAGGATTAATGAAAAAAATAGAAAAGGAAGAGCAAGCAGTCTCGCGAGAAGATCAGGATAAAAAATTATTTCATTTGTGTATTGTAAATTTAGTAATTGGAACATTGTATTGTTCCAAAGGGAATTATGAATTTGGTATATCTAGAGTAATGAAGAGTTTGGAACCCTATAATAAAAAGTTGGGGACCGACACTTGGTTTTACGCGAAAAGATGTTTCCTATCTCTTTTAGAACAACTAGCCAAACAGTTGGTGGTTTTAAAAGATACTACATTACAAGAATGTATACAATTTTTGGAACATTGTGAAGGTATATTCCTTTTTTATTATAATTTTCTTATAATTACTAAAGTATTTTATATAATAGTTTATGTTATAGTTTACGGAAGAGACGTGATGACAGTAGTAGAGCAACTCTTTGACATACAGGATGTGTATAACATCACCCCCCAAGGAAAACAAACAGTTGTATATGAAGCGCGTTACTTAAAGGCTTTATTTTTAAAATTACAAATGTCTTAAATGTATATACAGCAGCGTGTATTACAGCATTGAGTATTTACTGTATAGGTTCATATAACAGAAAAAGTTATTAACAAAAATTTATTGATAACAAGTGCTACAATATTAACTTTTGCTCGGGCCCCGCGAAATTTAGTGGGGGTTCTGTATGTAGGTAAGCACATAAGTTACTATTTCTATTGAATTTGTACAAAAGGACGCCATCTCGTGAGAGAAAATAAATACATATATACATACATACAATTTGTACAAAATAATTGAAAGAAAAGTAATGTTTAGTATTGTAAAGAAATTGCTTTTTGAGACCCATAAAATGCAATTTCAATAAACTATGAATATAAAGCTTCAAACTCAGTGTAAAGTCATTTCTTTAACCTAATCAAATCTTCCTAAAAGAATTTACGATCTTCGGTAAAACGTTTTATTATATGAAAAGAATCCAAATTTTTGTTTTGGTAGTTCCGCGCTTAAGTGTTAGATGACACAAGAGGTATCTTCCGACAGCGCATGCAAAAATATAAATTTTAGGTTTTCAAAGTGCTTTTAATTTTTTAAATTAATTACTTTATATTAAACTATTATCTTTTATGTCTCTTTTACATATTAAATTACTATGGTACTTCCCTTAGCAAATACAAACCTGAATGTAGTATTCATTTATAAAAAGAAATAACTTACATAAATGTAATATACAGATAGAATAATGCCATTGTAGTTCCAAGAAATTCCTTCTTAAAACGCGAAGCGAATAATAAAATAGCTTATTTTGAAAAGTAAACATTTACTTACGAATATCTTATTATTTATCAATTTCAAAAATACCAAAACACTTAGACGCCATTTCCCCTAGTAACTAGATTTACATCCGATTGTACGCAGTTCAAGTAAAAATGGTGGTCGACATGGAATTGCAGGAAGCAAAGGATTACGTTCTTCAGCTTATGAAGGATAAGGATAAAATTGAATCAGATTTAAAAGCTTTGAAAGAGATTTTAGATACTGTACGTGTTTTAATATGTTCTAGATTTACATAGAATGTTTGTGTAATCGTACTATTGATAATATATCGTGTCATATATTTCGTAAACAGAGTGATTTGCTAAATTTTTGATATTAGTTTAAATATAATTTGAATTGCAGAATCATGTCGGCATGGATGATCAGCTGGTGGACTCTGAAGGGTATCCACGAACTGATATTGATGTTTATCAAGTCAGGCATACAAGACATAAGATAATATGTGTGTTTCATTATTGCGCAATTATTTTGGCGTTAAATTTGAATAACTTAAACTCATTAGTACATTGTTAAGTGATTAGGTCTCAGAAATGATCATAAAGCATTGATGAATAAGATAGAAGAAGGTTTGCACAAAGTACATGCACTAGCAGGAAATCAAGTGGAGAGTTCTCCTGCGAGTACAAGTAATGCTGAAGAAAATACAAAATGTGAACCCTTTCTGAGAGTAAATCTGGTATCTGCAGGTTCTCCAGCTGAGATAGCAGTGAGAAATATACATATTTTAAATTCTTATAGTATTTAAAAAATTATGAGTTATATAATTTAAAAATTGAATCTTTACAGGGAATTCAAGTTGAAGACCTAATATTAGAATTTGGTTCTATTGATTGTCGAAATTTTAAATCATTAAAAGATATTGGGACCTTGGTACAAAACAGTAGATACAAGACTATTAATGTAAAAATTAAACGTGGATCTAATGTTATAGTCTTAGCTTTAATTCCACGTCCTTGGCTTGGCAACGGCCTTCTAGGCTGCAATGTAATACCCATAGAGGCAGTTGAAAGATAAAATACTTGTAATTATAATTTATTTTTGTGTATACATTAAACAATAAAACAATATTTGTACATAATAATATTTACAATTATATTTATAATATACTTACTTTATTATCTAATGATTTGTTATTTAATGATTTAATGTAAATGAAATTTTATGGTATAATCCTAAGATGTATTAAATGTTCAGACCTTGAAATTCAATACACATAATCTATTGGTACAAGTTCATTCTTGGGTATTTAAAGGCACAGAGTTAATTCAGGCTCAGACATCTCTCAGGAAGTAATAGCAAAGGAACACAGAAGCAGGATGCATCTCCCACTGATTGTAAGTTATAACTTATAGGATTACACTGTTCCTACATTTTTAGAAATCTTTATTCATATCAATTTTTCAGGCAATATTAAGTTTAGTCATTTCTATATCTCAAGTTTCAAGTGAAGTTAATAGTTATGAGTACTCTGACCAATATCCATGGCCACTTGTTTATACCATATATCCATTTTACAATTCTGAAACATTTCTTGAAGTATGGAGAACTGCTAAAACTGTTGACATTTCTACTGATATAGTAACTGCAGCTCCAAATGACCAAGAGCAAACAGTTTTATATACTAATGATGTCCATAATAACAATACAAATTTGAACTTCCAAAATAATTTACCTTATTATGTGAATGAGATAAAAAATGCAAATGAAGGACAAACATCTAAAAACAGACAGCGACTTTCTAATTATGTAAGTAATCATAAGTTTTAGTCTTAACTGGAATTTGTGACATGGTATTTTATACCACAAATTTGACGGGTATAAAATACCACGTCACAACTTTGAATTATTACTTATAAAATATACATTCCAATGTTACAGAGAAATAGACATAAAGATACAAATGTTCAGAACGAATAAGCGGCCAATGTGTGGAATTCAAACGGAATAATGATCTACAGGGACTGTTTACTTATGGCAAAATATAGTTAAGGTCTAGAATTGTTATACTGCGAACTGAATTATCAAACTTACGCTTGTAGCAAATAGCATTAAAATATTTTATGATTAAAATGAGCTTATAGAAAGCATTAAAATAGCATACATAAAAATTGAGGTTATTTTTATTTCTATACTCTTATTTAAATTTGTTTGTAATTTCTGAAGATGTTATTAACAAATTCCTACAGTATATCAAACAACACAAATCAACTCTAACACACTGTATTAAAACTAGAAACTAGTAACATTGTCTAATATCGCAGTTAATTTGTTATTTTATAACCTTTCAAACTCGTAAATAATTTTTTAAATATACGATTCAAGTATTTGAATGTATTCACTGTTGTTTAATTGCATTTTTTACGGTAGTTGTATTTGTTTTAATTAATATTACGGGCTAATGACCATGGCAATCGACGCCCTCGATAATAAACAATACAACAACAATTAATATTGACTCTACTGTCACAGTGCTTGTATACAAACGATTAGTCTGCGTCATATAAGCGGCTTATCTTTATAATAAAATGAATTTCATATTTGTTAATTTGGCAACTTATCGTTAGATGACACCACAACACTATTTTGAGAACACAATGTTGATATAAAACTAAAAATATTAAAAATGTGACATACAATATTATTGGCGCAGCACATTTATTACATTTTAATGTTATGATATTCTCTTCTATTATAATATAAATAAAATATTTTTAGCATCTTAGTTAAGAATATAAACTTTAAAAGAAAAGATCATATATATGTTCAGAGCTGTTTTTAAAAAAGTGGTACATTTTTATTAAGTGATGTAGACTATGATCATCTTTGGTTTTAGGAGGTGGTAGAAATAATGATTTTAGTAATTTAATAACACAGAAATTAAGTCATTTAAAGGAGTATTATTATGTTATCTGCCTGTAATTTAATAAAAAAAAATACTATTTATTTTAATTGATAAAAAAATTGAATAAATATTTTCCTTTAAAAACTTTAAAAAAGTACGTGTCGTAAAGTAAGTATTTAATTTAAATATAATTATTTAATAAATGACAATGTGAAACATCTGTTTTGAAATGACAAGATCATGATGAGAGTGGGAGACACTGCAATGAATGACGAGGTATGACGACGTGGAGAATGAATTGTTTTCAATTTTCGTTCTACAAATAGCCGGGTCTTAACCGTAAACAATAGAATTTTGAGTAATATTTCAAGTATTTTAATAAACAACTTTGGATATTTAATTGAGAAAACATGAATTATAGTTCAAGTGCCCGAAGAGGTGAGTTTTTTATTCTGTGAATGTATTATATCATCTCATCTTTTTCAATTGTAACCAGTAGCCTATATTTGATATTTCTGATTATTAGTATTATTATAAACAATTATAATGATTTAGAATAATCTTTCCTGCGTGAATATATATTAAAGCAATGTAAAACGAAATGAAATATCACATAGAGGTTATGGTTTGAAGCCATATTTCAGTAACAGCTCTTAAAATAGACTTGTATTTGTATTCTGTCATATGAATTTTACAATTTCGTACTGATTTACCAAAATGATAAATATGCTTAATAGGTAAACCTAAAAGGTTAGTGGATCCCTCTAATGTTTTCATTCCACAAAACACGTACATGCCAAAACAACAGGTAAAAGATAATAAAAGTACATAATATGCAAATAAGGTATACAATTTACAACATTACTTTTAAAACTATTTGTATAGGTTCCAACAATTAATGGTATGGTTCCTGAGTATGGCTTTAATGTACCAGAACAACAGCCACCATCATATGGCTTTAATACGGCACCAATGCAAAATTCACCATATCTTCCTAACGAAGGCCATGGAGAGCAATATTTATCACCAGAATTTGCAACACAGATATTGGCACAGCCAGTAGTTACAAACATGGCTGTACAATATGGAAGTGCTTTAGTTGGAACGGGCAAACAACAATTTGAAAGATTTGTGCCAGTTACAGCTCTTAAATATTATTTTGCGGTTGATACAAATTATGTTTTTACAAAATTAGCTTTGTTATTTTTTCCATTTGTCCATAAAGTAAGTACTTTAGTTTTAATATGCAATTATCTGATTGTTTTAAAATCAATATAATTAATTGAAATTTTTAACAGGACTGGTCTGTGAAGTACGAACAAGATGTACCATTGCAACCACGTTATGAGAAAAATGCACCAGACATGTATATTCCAACAATGGCGTTTTTAACATACATAGTTATGGCTGGATTAGTTTTAGGGACTCAGGAACGTTTTAGTCCAGAACAGTTAGGTATATTGGCTAGTTCTGCTCTTGCGTGGGGAATCATAGAATTACTAGTGCACACAGTGAGTCACTACATAATGAGTCTTGATACAAGTCTTTCAACATTAGATTTATTGGCTTACTGCGGTTATAAGTATGTCGGTATTAATGCAGCTCTTCTGGTTTCGCTATTGTTCCGAAAATTTGGTTATTACGTGATACTGCTGTACTTCAGTGCATCTTTAGCATTTTTCCTTATGCGATCGTTAAAGTTAAGGGTTATTCCACAGAATCATGGCTCGTATACCGCTTCTGATAACAAAAGGAGACTCTATTTTATACTATTTGTAGCGGGCATTCAGCCTATATTAATGTGGTGGTTATCGTATCACTTACTTTAATCAACGATCAATGTAAAGCGATTGGAAAAAAATGTTACAATAAAACGAAATGTGTATATTTATTTGATTAATCATGTCACTTGGCATTTTTGTAATAAAAAAATCTTCAGCAAAAATCATTTGTTAAATAATCCTATTACGTTTCTATAGTATGTTTACTTGCAGTATAAATTGTAAATATAAATTAATTGAATGAGATATATCAATTTTGACATTGCACTAACTGCTGCTATACCTAATTCATAACATAAATACTAGAGGGCGCTAAAAATTTGTGAGGTCCCTTACTTCCACGATACCATAGGTATAAGAAATAGTTTTGTTGCTTTAAATTAGGAACTAAATTCGTTAATGGATAACATTAAATTTAAAACTGAGAAAAGGAGAGATTATGTTACATCGAAAAGAAAACTTCATTGTTAATATTTTTAATATCATTTATTATTGACAATTAATGAAAAAGCAAACGATTATTTAGACATATTATGCATTGAGTTAGATAAAACACATTTAATTATGATAACATTGTAAATATGTTTGATAAAATAAAAGTAAAAAAAAGTTTTAGTTATTAATTCTTTTTTAATATTAACTTTAGTTGATCAATATTTACACTTCTCCTAATAGAAGTATAAACATATACATTTGCTAAAGTTATGTTACATTTATTTTATTAAAACAAGTTATTACGAAACTATCGATTTTTAATTTCAACTAATCTAAAAACAGAAATGTGTATGAATTTAATTAACTGAAATGGACCTGTTCTCTTGAGGCCACGTAATAATATTACGCATGGGGCCTGCAAAAGTACAGATGCGGTCCTATAAACGAGAATAAATTACAAAGTATACTCGAAGAGTATGTTATCAACTGTACTGTTTCGTTCGCTTCTGCAACGTTCGATATCATTCGAATAAAACTCTACTTCATCGAACTTATTTTACTTAAACTAGTATAATAAATAATTAATTAATCGTTAACCATTTACTTATTATTCAAATTATATCTTATTTCGATCACTTGTAATTTATGAGAAGGATTTTATTTCGTATCCGTTATTTGTGTTTTTCCAACATTTTCCGCTATTGATGTCATACAATAGCTGCATTTCATTCTAGTTCGCAAGTGTGAGACAGCTACCAGAATTTATAAACTTTCCAATTATTTTTTAAATACATTCATATTATACTTAAATTAAAAATTCGAGTACATATTGAAATATTCAAAGATTTGAAACTCGAGCATTTTAATATTAGAACATCTGAGTTTCGAATATTCGTCTATTGAAAGATTTCGCAGTTGTTAATACGTAATTCGCGCTCAATTGTCCAAGTTCTCCGAACGGTGTCTTCGTGCTTTTCCGTGTTTCTTCGTCGGCCCACGAAGGTGTCGCTCGCACGGCGCCACGAGCGGCTAACTCAGTCAGTCAGCCGCGAGCCGCGGTGAACAGAAGGTGTGGTGATTGTTTCTGTGGGTTGACGGGCCAAAAATGGCGGAGCGTACGAAGACGACAGCCCCGGCCACCCGGCCCGTTCCCATGAAGCTGTTTGCCACTTGGGAAGTAGATCGCACAGCACCTAACTGCATACCCAGGTAATCAATAAACAGCCTTTCATTTTCGGCCGGTTTTCGTGTTTCGTGCGTTGTTCGCGTTGTTACTCTGTGTCACAGTGGACGCCAGACACTCAGCGGGCATTCACACGCCCTTTTTTCCAGGATTACTCGTATTTTTCTGCTCGCACCCTTGGCTCAAGGGTGCCCGTTGTCGTGTATCGTTTTAACCTCGCGTCAGGTTTACTTGTTTCTTTTATAACATACACATCGTAGCTTATTTGAACTGCGTGTGTCTGATCTCGACTGCGTGGCGCGCTCCGTCTATCGTAGGATGCTAGCTGTCAGTCCGTCGTGACAGATCACCAAATGCGAATCGTATCTCGATTTATATTCCAGTAGCGTTATCACGTTGCCGGTGGTGCTCTTCGATCGGCATCGATCTAATTCAGACGACGATTGTCTCTCGGCTATTTTTTTGTTATGTTTTTCGCAATGACAGTTGAATGCAATGGAAGTAAATACAACCGAATTAAGTGGCAGATAAAATGAGAATTAAGTTTCATCTGTGTCCAGTGTGTCACGATAGTGCAGTCTTCCGGTGTCCAGATGGTTACGAATAAATGAAACAAACGAGAAGTCAAACACTGAGTCGATTGTGCGTGCACGTTAGGTTAGAATTCGACTCGTAATTTTTATTTCAGTGTCCCATGAATGTCACAGCTTTGTTTTGTTTGGGCATATTCGGCCGATCGCGGTCTATATATTTCGTGATGTAATTATTACGACGAATCACTTTCCTGCGTTAAAGGACAATGAATATTCAAACGCGGACAGAAATTTTACCCGCGGAAAAAAGTTGTCGGTTTCACTTTGACGATGCATCACGCATAATCATTCTACGCTTTCACGAATTGTCATCGTAACATTCTTTTCTTATTTCATTTATTTCAACGCGAAACTTTCGAAAAAATGTCATTCTAAATTAATTGTTTCCCTAGTATTGCAAAACATATGCAACTGTATTTTTAATAAAGTAAGACTAAATTTTTTAATAAGACTTCGTTGAAAGAGTATAATTTAGGAATTGGAAATAATAGGAGACTTAAAATTAAATTTGAATTATCGCTACCTTCAACTTCTCCTAGTTAATGAGTTATTAAATTTCTTTCATATCTTGAAGCTGAAATAAATGAGTTATTAAATTTCTTTCATATCTTGAAGCTGAAATAAAGACGTTTAAAATATTCTTAACAAAGTCTAATTTAGTTAGCAAAGTCTGCAAATCGACTTTCCACTCTATTGTTTGGACGAGTTCATTTTCATCAGCTTTTTGCCGCTGTAAAATAATTAGATTTAATTGGCAGCGATATTATACACGAAACGTGCGATTTGTGGTAGTTATTTTTGAAAATCAATTTTCATTTAGTTCCGCGTGAGCGTTCATACCGCATGGTGTTGAAATTTTAATTAAACAGCATTTCAGTGGAACAGCTTTATTTGAAAGCAGTAGAGTAGTGTTTGCAGTGCATAGGACACTCAATTTGCAAATAAAATCTGTCATTTTGATTCGAAAGTTCGACAATTAAGAACCTTTCAATAAAATGAATAAATACTTAACTTTGTTTGGAATCAATGTTTTGAAATTGAAAGTAAAGTATTAAATTCCTTAGAATTTTTACAGTAACTTTTGTATAACCATTGTCAAATATAGCAATCTAATGCGTAATCGTGCAACGTACGGCAATATAACGAATTCCTATCCGACATGCAATTCTAATGTATCTCTAATGTATGTGACGTGGAGAAATAATAACGCTAATACACCACTTAGCAATAATAATACATGGCAATATAGCGTGTAGAAATATTAACGCATGGTAATACTAAAAATAACACGTAGGAATATTCAGGCGCTGCGATATAATGCATGAGAATTATTAGCGCGTAAAGATGTTAGGACACGGCGATATAAGGCGTGGTGATATTAGGGCGCGATGTTATGACGCGTACAGATATTAGCGTGCTGCAATATAACGCGTAGAAATATTGGCGCGTGGCGATATAACACACAGGGATATTACGTACGGCGATATAACGCGTAGAGATAGCTACGTAGAGCGATATAACGCGTGAAAATATCTACGTGCGGTGGTATAACGCGTGGCGATATAACGCGAGGAAATAGCTACTTACGGCGATATAACGCATGGAGATAGCTAATTACGGCGATATAACGCGTGGCGATATAATGCGTGGAGATAGCTACGTACGGCGATATAATGTGTAGAGATAGCTATGTACGGTGATATAATGCGTGGAGATAGCTACGTACGGCGATATAACGCGTGAAAATATCTACGTGCGGTGGTATAACGCGTGGCGATATAACGCGAGGAAATAGCTACTTACGGCGATATAACGCATGGAGATAGCTAATTACGGCGATATAACGCGTGGCGATATAATGCGTGGAGATAGCTACGTACGGCGATATAACGCGCGGAGATAACTACGCGCGGCGATATAACTCGTCGAGATAGCAACGTACGGCGATATAACGCGTGGAGATAACTACGTGTGGCAATTTAACGCGTAGAGATATCTACGTGCGGCAATATAACTCGTAGAGGCATCTACGCGCGGCAATATAACTCGTAGCGGCATCTACGCGCGGCAATATAAGGCATAGTGTTATCAGCGCGCGGCAGTGTAACGCATGGACAGATAAAACTCCGCGGTGATATAACGAGTAGTTGTATAACTCGTAACAGTGTATCACGTGGTAATATAATGTGCGATCAAACAACACATGGCGATTTATTGTTACATCATTTCTTTGTAATCAAGCAGTTTGTTTATAATAATTTGTACTTTCTTCTCACATCAGAATGATTGTTCCTATTCCATGTTATAGATAACTGTTACATCACGTAAGAGTATTATTTATCTCGTTTGTTTCATTATTTCGATATACTAGAGGAAGTTTATATAATAGTTATAGAGCCGTATCAATAAATTGTTTTTTTACGTATAATTTTATTATTTTTATAAACTGTAATACGTTACATCCAGTTATAATGGTAACGCATCGAGCGATTTCGATAACGTTTGCATTTTTGCATCGTTATTTATTCTATAAAATTATATACGTTAGAGAAAATTCGGAGCACAAATCCTTTCAATAAAATATTTGAAGTTATAAATTAATCTATAAATCACTTTCTAAAATTAAAGCTTTCCGATTTCACTTCAAATAAATTTTGTTTAGCTACGAAAAGAAACTTGGCTTATATGTAGACGCTTAAAAATATCGCGGTGAGTCTTGTAGAAAGCGTTCGTTCTTTCTTTATTTCAATTGTCAGTATAATCGTTCACATACATCTAACATGCTTGTAATTTAATTGCGCAACATACGTTTATACATGTAAGCCCTTCGCGATAAAGGTGTTCTTATTGCGTATCAATCACTTTATCATATTGCTTGTAACGCAATTCCTCAAGACGTAATTTATATCTGCGTAATTCCATCGGAGTTCATTCTTTCATTCTGATTAACACTTTGACCAACGTGTCACAGTATTTGGGTGACGCATGAATTTTCTGCAGGAACTCATTAAAATGATCTCATTTTACCTAATTACAACTAATCGTATCAAGTAGCCTTAACTTAAAATAGCTTCACGAAGGTGCGTATGACAGAAAAAATTAATGTTATAAACCCGATAAGCTTATCACTATCTGATGATTATACGTTATTATATTAAATAATAAAAGTATTAACACGTTTGGGTAAATTTGAAATGAAAGAAATTCGAGTTTATAATAATTTGTAGTAATATTAAGTAATTTTTGTTTCAGAAATGACAAAATAAATGAAGACAATTTTATTTTATTACACTCGTAAAAAAGTCATATTTGTTTTTGTTTTACCTTAATAAAAGTTTTATTAAAAGTGTTTATCAACACACATAAACAACTCGTTATTCGGTCTATCTTGTATTTTCATCCAAAATTATCAAACCTGTTATCCTGTTTCCTTATAAAGGGATTTCGAAGGGTTCGATAGATTCGAAGGAAACATATTTTGCAGCAAAACTCGGTATTGAACCCAATTCGATGTATCGGATTGATAACGTTTTTGTTTTTCAAGACAGATAACAAATATTGTGTTTTCGAACATATCCGTATCTCGATCCTTTTATTTGCAAGGGAGGTAGGATGTTTTCGTGTATCCAGTTTATTCAAATAACGTATCTATTATTTCGAAATCATTCAATCACATTGATCGACCGTGTTTACCGTAGCTTACGTTTCTCGAAAAAGAAAGAATTGATTTTCACGAGTTGCTTTCAGCGTCTGCGAACGTAATGTATTAAGCATTGAACAGAATATTTTCTCTCAGAATGCTCGCTAATGCAGCTGTTGATAATATCTATAGAAACGCCTGAATGATTCATGACAAAGAAATTTCGTTTGATAAAAAAAAGATGAGTAGCAGTTTTATAATAATGAGGAAAAGTTCGTTCGAAAGGTAAGATCATAAGGAACCAGATACTTTAACGTATTATTGTTATTATTAATTTAATTTTAAATTCTATGAAATAAGACTGTGTGAACAAACTTTGCTATTTGTAATAATTAGTTATTAGCAGTTTGCAAGTTGAAGTAAGTCTATTTAAAGTTTTACTGGTTTTAACAATTTAGCTACTGATAAATATAATAGCGTTTATTGATTTTCTTAAGTAAGGCATTTTGGAACTCTTTAATAAGAATAAATACTAAAATATTTTCTATTTGAGAAGTTTGTAAAAATTATGTAATATCGGACATCTTAAATATTTCATAAAATTGTGACAAAAAATTGTAACCATAAAAGATAAAAAATTTTCCATAATTCTATCAAGTATGAAATTGAGCAATTTATTTTGTGAAAGAACCAAAAATCAACTAAATTAATTGTAAGTCCTAAAAATAAACCAAATTAGTTTCAAATTCCAAAAATCAATTAAGCAAAATAATTTTAAGTCCTAAAACTCAAC